AAATGCTTACACCTTCAATGCCAACTTCCATTTCTACTTAAGAAAACCCCCATTCTCTGGAAGCCACGGCACTATATTGGACTCACTAGCCCATTTTCCAAATGCTAAATAACTCAGTCTGGAATGAAATAAACAGTGAGGGTTGTAGATGGATGAATAATGGCACTTTAAGGACCTGCCCAGTAGGACATCGTTCCATCGATGGGAGGCAACCACAGGCCTCCTCCTTCCTGCTCCATTAAAAAATAAAAACTGTAACAAACTTGCGCATCTCTCTTTTTCTCACATGCACACTCCCTGAGAACAAGGAGTGACTTTCTGAGACAAGCTGAAATAGGTTCATATCGAAAAAGAAAGAGTTCCCTAAAAATTGAATAACCTTCACACCGTCCCTCTTTCGGCAAGAAGATGGTCCTTGTCCCTATTAATGTGCACTCCAACTACTACTCTCATGTTCATCTTCCAGTTTCCTAAACATGGAAAGGAGCCTGCTGGTGAGAAAGAAAAATCCATTGTGTCAAACAACAGTTATCTGTCCTTGCTTGCCAAACTATGGCTACCAGAGGACCCAAGAGAAACTTTGGGATTACAGCTTTTCCATACCCTCATCTAGATAAGTCTAGTTATGAGTTCTCATAGGGGTCAGTAGGACCACAAGAGCTGCAGGGGATGGAGTGAGGAGGATTTGGCACTGCTGGTCTCCACCTTACCTCTTGGGTCTTTGTTCAATGTTTCCTCTTCTAATCTTCCTTACGTGTCCCCTCTATTCTCCTCGTGTGACATCTCTCCATTCCTCCCTTTGCTCCCATTCCAGTTGCCACCCTCATTCAGATTCCCTCGACTGGAAGCTTAGACCTTAAAATTAAATGGAACCAATTAGGAAAAAAACATAGAATATAAATAAAACCCAATCCAATGTCATTAAGAACTATACGCGTTAGTACTATCAGCAAAAAATATGAAAATAATTTGAAGTAGAAAAATACATAGTAGATGAGCTGAAGCCAATCAAATGGATGAAATGTAAACTTCCATACATGAAGAGAAGTAGGAGGTAACAGAGGACTTGAATCTCAAGGACTGGGGCCCATTGACAGCCAAAGATGTGAGATGAATTTCAAGGGTATTTGTAGTTCCAGAGCTCAGATGTCCTAGATGATAGCTCTGGTTAATATTCAGCTTCAGCTAATCTAAAATGTAACCTCCAGAAGTACTTGTAGTGCCAACCCTAAAATTATTTAAATGGCATAATTGACTGTTTCCAAGAGAATTAGTAGTTTTAAATTTGGAAAATTAAATATAAATAAATAAATATAAATATAAATATAAATATGTGTGTGTGTGTGTATGTGAGAGAGATTAAGTCAAACCTATAAGTACTAATATTTTTTAGTAAAGTCTACAAATAATCAATAATCAAGAAAATCTGACCCATTACACATCATGCCTGTGATTCCAAATTAAGCTGACTGGAAAACTAATTGATATCAAAGATTTTATGCTGAAATCCATCAGTTTTAGAAAATTTAAGAAAGCCTAAGACTTATTTTTATAGGTTAAACGTATCCTATTAGAATGGCTACTTAAATACTGGAAAGACTCTTACAAATGACTAAGCTACTTAAAAAGAAAATAAAATTCATCTTCGTTAAGTGTAGTTTAAAATCTTTAAGGGAGTTATAGTTTATAAACGGGATCAAACATTAATCAACCACGTCCTTAAAAAGTAATTCTTAAACTGTGCTAGATCTTTAAATAGAAGAAAATTATCATGCTGAATTTAAAGCTTAAGGAAGAAATATATTCTTACATATGTGTTTAGTACATTAAGTATTAATTTTTAAAAATAAAGTTTCCTCCCAATGATCATTTTGGGATCCAAAAGGCCATCGTCAGGAACACAGAAAACTCCTATTGACATGGTGTGGGCTTCTTCCCCCAAAGTACAGCCCACGCACAACTGACGGATTGGTGCTCCCAAAATGCCATTATGTAACAATTCTCTTCAGAAACCTCTATTTTGTTGATCTTTCCCTTTTCTGATTTAAACACAGAAAAAAACCGAAATAGAAATCTTTCTACGTTTCTACTTCATCCATTGTTTTGTCTCTTTTTCACCTCTAAGATTGTATTTGTTTTTAACCAGGAAGTCACCTTAATCACTAAGCTACTGCCTCATTAAATCAATTTCCCTCTCTGACTTCTAAAGCACTCAATTCAATATTCTTTTCAATTAGCATTTAATACATTTTCTGCTAAGTCCCAGCTAGCAGAAACCCATTTCACCAAGCCTGTTTCTAAAAATGAAGCAAACGCTTTTTCTCCTTTCTTATAAATGTTTCAAAACACAATTTGAACAAGACATAGTTTCACTGTGATGTCCATGAACAACTCCAGGGTTTTAATAATGTAACCTAAAGAATGATTTCTGAGATTTAATTGTAAGTGTGGCATTTTTCAAAGAAAGTGGCAAGGGCAATCTCCCCTCTTTGAATGTCAGAAACTGAGTCAATAAGAAATTGATTCAACATCTAAAAAGTTCAAATGTAGCCAGTAACTATAACTATACAGAGAAGATGATCTATTTTTCTCAGATAAACATGTCCTTTGTTCTTCACAGTTCCATCAGTATTACTAAAACGTGCCATGTTGATTTTTTAAAAATCACCCTTTCCTCTGCTAATGAAACAGATCTTCGTCATCTCAAACTTGGTGTCCCTGCTTCTACTTCATGCTCCGCATTCATTATCGCAAGAAAACACAATTTTATCATGTCCCAGAGCCTACAGGGTCTCCTATTCACTTTGTGCATGTTCCATCACCTTTGCTGGTTTGCATAGTCCTCCCTAATTTGGTTCCTCTACTTATTCAAACTTATTTTTTAGTATTTCCCAACCTAGAGGTCTCCCTTTGCCTCTCTCACTGTCATGGTACAAGAACCAGCCAGACGCAATCAGGAAACAGAAGTGGGTATAAGATTAAGCCAACGGGCATTGGGACCACGCTGCATCTTGACCATGGTGGTAGATACGTGGGCATCACACAGGTCCTACTCATCACATTGTACCCTTAAATGGCTGAATTTTCTTTTACATAAATTAACTTTCTGTTAAGTGGATGGGGAAAAAATTTAAGTAGGGCTTAGCGGCCTTGTCAATTGAAAACTGAGGGGCGAAGCAGGCAATAGATTGGAGCAGCCTCAGTTAGAGGGGGCTTGGCCTTCTGAAAGCATGGGAGCCAAGTGGAGTCAGAACAGCATGGGTTCAGGAACAGAGGGAAAGAGGTTCCAATTAACAGGCTGAGGTCGGATTTAAGAGAAAAAAAAAAAAAAGACAAGACAATACAGGCAGGGAAGAGGAGCCCACATTCGAAGCCTGGCATAAGCAAGCCCTCCTGCACAAAAGGCCCAAGTGTCTGCTCTCCCGCTGGCACAGCTCACTGTAGTCCTACCTCCAATGACTCCAGTGCCCACAAATCTTGAATCTGTAGTGAGTTTACTTTCTTCATTTTGTTTCTTTATAGTGTTTCCCCTCTCTTCTTTCCTTTGGGGATTACTAAAATGTAATCCCGGATTGATTCACTTTCTCCATTTAGTGGATTTCTTCAGGGTTCAAAGTTGGCAAGAGTCTACAGTGATAAATAATTCCTCTTTCCAGCAGATGTTGTTTCTGGTTTTTTGGGATCAGAGGGAAAAAAGAAAAACATTGTGATTTTCCAGTAGATCTGCTAAACACTGCAGTGAATTATGAACTTGAGCAGAGGATACACCATCCAAGAGACCAATATACAATTGGCAAATATTTCATATTTGAAAGTCATGGCTTATTTCAGTTAACCAGGAAACCATTTTTTTTTAAGCTCGGCATTATTTCTCAATTAAAAGTCATGGAATCGCAAAATTATATTTGATAATTATACTTATTCATCTTATTTACTGTTACACTTAATTTTTAATGAAAATCTTGAGATTTTCATCTCTTTCCATACATTTTTCCTCAGTATCATCATCTTTCCTCCCTCAAACAGCACCTAATTGACATGGCAAAAAAAAAAGGGAGACTTTCTTGGGTGTTTCTTTTTGTTTCCAATATTGCTTTCTGGGCAATACCAAAGAAATGGATTATAATAAAATCTGCCTTCACTGGTTATCTTTTCCACATAACAAATATCATACTTTTTTCTTTTCTTTTTTTTTAAATTTTTTTAATTTATTTGTGATAGTCACACACAGAGAGAGAGAGAGAGAGAGAGAGAGAGAGGCAGAGACACAGGCAGAGGGAGAAGCAGGCTCCATGCACCGGGAGCCTGATGTGGGATTCGATTCCGGGTCTCCAGGATCGCGCCCTGGGCCAAAGGCAGGCGCCAAACCGCTGTGCCACCCAGGGATCCCTATCATACTTTTTTCAAGATAAAAGCCATGGCATCGAGTACAAACAAAATGTTAACATACATCTTTAGATCTATGACAAAGGCACATACAAGCAAATTGAAGAGTTCCAGATATAATGTGAAAGCCCAGAAATACTTTGTAGTGCAATCAATACATCCAGGTGCAAACTGTCTTTCCTTAGAGTATGATGTACAGTTCTGATTTTATACTTATTTACATAATTATTTGGTCAATGTCATAAGTTCTGCCGGGAACCTATTTGTTTTAACTGAACCTCCAATACTCCGCTCAGTATCTAGACTATGGTAGACACTCAATAAATTGTATTGCGTGTGCATGGAGGAAAAGCATCTCAAGCTATACATAATAATCATACCCAGGGGCAAGAGAAAACTTTTGAAGGTAATAGGTATACGCCCATTATCTTGAATGTGCATACATATGTCCAACCTTGTCAAATTCAATACTTGAAAATACTTTCGATTTAAATGCTGTCAAATTTCAATATTTTCAATTCAACTTATGAAGCTTGACATATTGTATGTCAATTATACCTCAATAAAGCTGCTTTTGAAAATGTCAAAATCCATGACAATATCATGTTAAATGTATTATCTGTAAAGTTCATGGATTATATTACAATGATATTTTACACAGGATCAGCATTACTGGAACGTTGTTTGCTAACCTTTCAATTAGCAATAATCGCGCCTCGGATAAACCTCATTGGCTATGATACTGCTACTGCGCAAAGCTGTTTGCTAACTTTTGGGGGAAAAACAGCACTTCTGATTAACTGCTAATTACAATTCCTGTGTCTGATAGAAAAGAAACTTTTAAAGTAAAAATCTTACCATTTATTTAATCTCTTTTCAGCTTGAAATTAAGAGGTATGAACTTAAGATCTTAACACTAGGACTGTTTTCCCTCAAATGTCCATTTACTTTTTGAGTAAAATATCCAGTAACGTTATTCCTAAAAGATTGTATGTGCACTGAATGCTATTTTAAACATAATGGACGATAGTTTTTAGAATCGCTATTAAAAGTCCTTTCATATAATACAAATCCACGTTTTAAAACTCTAGTTTCATTTAAACAGGAGTAGAAGATTTTCAATTACAGTGGAGAAAAAACATCATTGTGCTTTTTCTGTCAGAAATTCCCAGTATATGAAAAAGATGATAATGTTTAAAGACATTATAATTTTGAATTAAAACCTTTCTCAGGTGTTTGGAAAGAGAATGATGATACAGTCATGAGAAATGAATCACGGGCATGAGAGAAATTATTGATTTTATCATTATGAGAAAGAACAAGTGCCTGAATTATTTAATGACAATGGGTTTAGAGCTTTTAGTTGAAATCGGTTTGTTTTTAAAATTTCATCACTTAATTTTGACAAAAGCCAATATGGTATTCACAAGATTTTCCAGATCTCAAATACTTTGTGGCAAGTATGCTGTTAAATTAGTTCATGTAAATGATTGTGACAAAGTAATATATTCTCGCATGTATGTTTATGAAGGGTATACCTCATGATCTCTTCATTTTTAAAATTTTTAAATTTTTTTAAAATTTATTCATGATAGGCAGAGAGAGAGAGAGAGAGAGAGAGAGAGAGAGGGGCAGAGGGAGAAGCAGGCTCCATGCAGGGAGCCCGATGTGGGACTCAATCCCAGGACTCCAGGATCAGGCCCTGGGCCCAAGGCAGGCACCAAACCTCTGAGCCACCCAGGGATCCCCTCTCATGAGCTCTTCAAATAGAACACCACCTCTTCTTCTACTGACTCCCAGTTTCCAGTCTTAGGGAACCAGATCATTCACAGTACACATATTTTTCAGTTCACTCATTCATTCTACAAATGTTTATTGATACTGTGCCACACGACAGACACAAATTGGAATAAGACAAATACAGCAAGACTTATTTCTCCTAAACAGGTAAATAAACAACTATGAAAACTTCAGATAGAGATAAGTGCTTTGAGAAGAACGGAACAAGACAATGTGGTAGTGGGTGGCCCTGGGGTAGGTGGGGCAATGTAAGCTGAGCAGGTGGGGCGTGGAGCAATCTGAGCCCAGGGACCAAATGAGGGAGCAAAAGGAGAGGAGTCCGAGAAGCAGGCAAGGAGAAAAATCACAAAGGGCTTGAGTTTCCTTCCAAGTGCTATGGGAAGCCACTAAAGAGTCCCGAGAAATAACATATTGCCGATTTGTTATTTATCTTATTTATTTATTTTTATTATTTATTTTATTTATTTATTTATGATTTGGTGTTTTATTTTTTTTTTATTATAAATTAATTCTTATTGGTGTTCAATTACAACATACAGAATACACCCAAGTGCTCATCCCGTCAAGTGGTACCCCTCAGTGCCCGTCAGCCATTCACCCCCACCCCCCACCCTCCTCCCCCCCACCACCCCAGTTCATTTCCCAGAGTTAGGAGTCTCTATGTCTGTCTCCCTTCTGATATTTCTCACACATTTCTTCTCCCTTCCTTATATCCCCTTTTGCTATTATTCATATTCCCTCAAATGATGGGAACATTACACTGTTGGTCTTCTCCGTTACTGTGGCCAAGTATAAAAAAGGTGTTGCCTGAGTTCTCCTCTGGATTTTGATGGAATCTTGTCTCACATTTAGATCTTCATCTATTTAGTTTATCTTTGTGTATTGTGCAAGAGAGTGGTCCCAGTTTCCAATTCTTCTGCATATGGATGTCCAATTTTCCCAGAACCATTTATTGAAGAGTGTACTGTCTTTCTTCTAGTGGATCGTCTTCCTCCTTTATCGTATATTAGTTTTGAGCATAAAGTCAGGGTCCCACCCGTCTGGGTTCTCTGTTCTGTTCCATTGATCTAGTGCCTGTTTTTGTGCCAGTACACACTGTCATGATGAACACAGCTTTGTAGTACAACCTAATCTGGCGATGTGATGCCCACAATATGGTTTCTTTTTTTAAAATCCCCAGGCTGTTTGTGGTCTTTTCTGATTCCAGACAATCTAAAATAATTTGTTCTAAGTCTCTGAAAGAAAGTCAGGTATTTAGATAGGGATTGCATTATACGTGTAAATTGCCCTGGGTAACATGACATTTTCACAATATTAATTCTGCCAATCCATGAGCGGAAAATTTTCCCAACTCTTTGTGTCTTCCTCATTTCTTCAAAGTGTTTCTGTAGTTTTTAGGGTATATTTTGATAACATTTGAATAGGTAAATGGTTCTCCAACCTTTTATTTCAGGTGTAGGTGTCCTTCTGTCTAAAATGATTCTCTTGTATACAGCAAATAGATGGGTTCCTGTTTTATCCAGTCTGAAACTCTGCGCCTTTAGATGGGTCATTAACCCATTCACGTTCAGAGTTACTTGAACTTCTTCTTAAAGGGGAGTTTAAAGAGTCCCCTTAAAATATCTTGCAGAGCTGCTTTGAGGTCACATATTCTGTTCATTCCTGCCTTTCTGGAAGCTCGTTATCTCTCCTTCCATTTTGAATGAGAGTCCTTGCTGGATAAAGTAATCTTGGTTGCATGTTCTTCTCATTTATGACCCAGGAATATATCCTCCAGCCTTTTCTGTCCTGCCAGGTCTCTGGTGGAGAGGTCTGCTGTTACCCGTAGAATTCCTCCCATGAAAGTCAGGGACTTCTTGCTCTTGCTGCTTTATAGGATCTTCTCTTTAACTTTGGAATTTGCAAGCTTCACTATTAGATGTCAGGTGTTGAACGGTTTTTAATGATTTTTAGGGGGGTATCTCACTATTTCCTGGGTCCTGAATGCCTGTTTCCCTTCACCAGATTGGGAAAATGTATTCAGCTATGGAATTTGTTCAAATACATATTCTTGCCTCTGTCCCCTTCGGCGCCCTCGGGAACCCCAATTAAACGTAGGTTTTTCTTCTTAGATGTCCATTTATTTCCCCTTAATCTTCTTCATTGGTTCTTTAATGTTTATCGTCTCTTTTTCCTCCAGTTTCCCTCTTTGCCATTAACTTGTCTTCTATCACCACTCGTTCTTCCACCTCCGTTAACCCTCGTCCGTTAGGACTTCTAGTTTGGATTGCATCTCATTCATTGGATTTTTTAATTTCTGCCTGATGGATCTAAATTCTGCAGTCATGAAGTCTCGTGAGGCCATAATGCTTTTTTCTAGAGCCACCAGTAGCTGTAGATAGTGCTTCTGAATTGGCTTTCCCTGACATTGAAGTGTAATCCAGATTTTTGAAACTCTGAGGAGAGAGGGCTTTGGGGGGGGGGGTTTTCTGTATTCTTATCTTGAATGAGGTTTTCCTTCTAGTCATTTTGCTCAGTGCAGAGTGGCCAAAAACAAGTTGTATTGGAACACGGGGATATCACTGGTCCCATCTAGCAGGTCTTATGGGGAGGGGCGTTCGCTGAATCTCAGGTGTTAGCACATGGGGGAGCGGCTCTTCCCCTCCTTGCTGCAGGGTCTCATCGGGGTGTTTTACCTCCGTGAGGCCCCAGGAGGATCAGCCGCAGTTTCTATGGCGCTCTGGAAGCCTGGATTCAGACCTCCGTCAGTAAACTACGGGGACTCGGGTCTCTCGGTTCTTCCCTTCTGCAGGGCCTGGAGGCTCCGGCGGGGCCGCTGATTCTGCTCAGCCTCGGGGCAGGAGCGTCCTTCTTTCCTGGCCCTCCCGGCCACTGCCTGACCGGGGGGAGCGGATTCCTGGGCTGTTCCCGGCGCCCTGGTGCTCCGGGGCCTGTGTGTGTTGGATTTGCGAGCTCCCGCCCCGAAGCTCATCTCCCTGGAGCCCTCCCGAGCCCCTCCGAGCTGCACCGGTGCGTGCTGCAGCCTTAGGAGCTCGGAGCACTCTCCTGCCTCCGCAGGTGTCTGTTAGTGTCCCTCGGAGCCCGAGGGCATCCCGCTTCTCCTGGGAGGCCTGCTCCAACTCCCTGCGAGCCCCTTTCCCCCGGAAGGTTGGTGGCAAGCTCCAGCTCCTCCGGGACCGGGCCTCCTGTCCTGGGAACACTCGCCCCGCCTCAGCCCGCTCCTCGCGGCCCCTTCCCCTGTAGGCCTATTGTTTCTTATTGTCTTTTTCCCCGTCTTCCTACCATTATAGAAGCGCCGGACCTCTTCTCACTGTAGCGTTCCAGCTGGTCCTCTTTACATCTCAGCCGAATTCAGTAAATTTTCAGGAGTTTGAGGTTATCGAGGTAAATTGGTGGGGACAGTTGATTTGGGGACCCTGCTCTTTCCGCCATCTTGCCCCTCCCCCCTGATTTGTGTTTTAAAATAATAACCATGGCTTCTAGAAGATGAACGGGCTACAAGAATAAGGGCAGACAGATCCCGTTTGGAGGTTACGATAGGTCAGAGATCGTGGTGACTTGTACGACGATGGTGGCAACGATGAACGGAAGCAGATAGAATTGAGATATATTTTGGAAACGGAGCCTAAAGAATTTGCTGGTTTACCGGAGGGGTGTGAATGTAAGGGATGGTGACAGAAAGGGAGCAAGTGAGATGGGAAGACTTGGGAAACACGCCTTACAAATCTAATAATATAATATCTTAACCCTACACTATCTGTTGAATCAGCAGAACACCGACATGCTCCAAAGTTAATAAGCATCTTTTGTTTTACAATCACCAGAGAGCTTTGCAATTTTAAGTCATATTTTAAGCTCAATTTTAAGCTAAAGGATGGAATTATCTACAATTAAAGATTAATTTATCCGGTTATTTTGTGTATCTGCAAAAGAATTTAGAGTATAATGGCCCACACTATG